CGGGGAGTGGTGGTGGTGGGGTATCACAGGGTGTTCGATTCATCCTCATCCTCCATCTCTATCAGTCTATCTGGCTATCCTTCCATACCATGGTCCCTCCTTATCCTGTGTTGAGCCAGAGGAGACCATCCAGTCACTCTAACAAAGCCATAAGTCTGCCGTACTTACAGCTCCCTCTCAGGCCTCACAATGGATGGGTAATGACAGCGCTGTCTGGAGGGGGCTGTGGGAGTTGGGCCATTCTCTCCAGTAATGGAAGCAGTTACTGCCATTCCCTATACACCTGCAGGAACAGCTAACTGTTAACCACTGTGATCTATGGCAAGGCCTTACCGCACTAGGCTAAGGTTGAAGGGTTGTACTGACACCACTGAATTAGGGCATGTCTGCACAACACATCTTTTTTTCTGACTTTCCTGTGGTGAATGAAGTTATTCTACTGTACGTTGAAAGCTATGGAAAGGCATTGAGGTTATTTATAAACAAATGTGTTCCAATGAATCAGTGTTGGTACAGCTCTTAGCACGGCAGACTGACAATCCAGCATTCCTGACATTCACTGATTTAACGCAGACATAAGATGCTGCCACATCTTTACTACCCTGTCACTGCTTTGAACGATGGGAAACCCAAACTGCCTGTAACATTAAGCACACCACTACAGGCTGACTGTCCTCGAACGCTTTCCAATCCCACAGAGATTTACGAGCAGAACCAGATCCATTAATCCATTGTTGATTTGCTGTGGCTGCCCTGCAGGGTTTTTGGGATCAGATATCATACAGTGCTGAAACTCACGCCGTTGCACAGCGGGGTAGACTGTAACACCCTGACCAGTGCTAAAAATGCTGCACTAAACATTAGGAAATTAAATACAAGTGTCTTGTTTTACATTTTTAAATTGATGGCACATGTGAAATTCCTGCATGTCTAGCACCAGTCTTATTCACACAAGAGAGATATATGAACTTTTGAGAGAAAACACTGTCACTTACATAAAAAAAAAACCCCAACATATACCACAGTGACAATCCATAGAGGGCTCAGTACGAGTGAGTTAGAGCTTGTACACAATGTGATAATGACCCAGGCTGCAGGGAAATCTCATCAGCTGCCTGCAATCAATTTAACAGTGTTTACAAAGCCACGGGCTGGAGTTTGTGCTTGGGGACAGAGCACTGGTCACCTGGTGTTCCACTAGATCCCCCTGCTAAGCTGGCCTCTCCTGGGTAAACCTCCACAAAGCCCCCTCATGTCTGACACCACCAGGTCCTTCAAATAGTGCTCTCAGACAGAGGATTAGGTAATCTCACCATGATACTGTCTTTTTCGCTATTTCTATCACTTTTCCTCTCTATCCCTGCATTCTCATACCTTACATCCTCCCTCCCCTCTCTCTCGCTCTGGCCTGTTGAAGTGCTTGTTCTACTCAGAGCACATCTATCCTCAGGGGTCCTTACATTCTTAAGTGCCTCCAGAAAAGGTTAGTTGGCAGGTAATTGTCCAGCTGTGGTCGGGCTTATCTTAATTGTGGGTGCTTCAGTGCAAGCTACACTTCCTTTGATGAAGAGACTTACAGTATGTGGAATAAAGGCAGAAGATAGGAGGATGGGATGAGAAATGGATTTAACATTTTGAAGTGTATTTGATATTTTTCCTTTGGTTACTTGTGCTTTATACTTTACAGAAAAGATTAACCATGTGTAAGAGTATTTTTTTAAATTTGTAATTTGAAAATCTAAAACTTTTTGGATATTATTTACATTTATATTTCTACTTTTGTGCCTATATTTTTCCAAAATGTCTTTTCAATGCATCACTGAATGGTTTCCCTTATAACAAACTCAATGTGTGTTTTTACAAATGATCCTACACATGCATCGTGGAAAAGGCAATGCTGACCTCATGGTGTTAAAATTCAAATGACTAGGTCTTCTGCTGTTCTAAATCTATACTTCTATTAGCCATCTGATCATATATATATTTATATATATACACACATCGATAGTAAGCTTTAGGGGGGTTAGTGTTTGCGTTGCTCCAGTCAAAGGTCATGACTGGCCAATAAAATATTTCCAGAGCACCATCAATAACACCGACATGCAGACTAATACAGTATGGGATTGTGGGTAGGGGGAGGAAGCCTGCTGTGCTTGCTTCGAGCAGAATGGATGAACAAGAGGCCAAAAGGTTATTGGACAGACTTCAGCCCCCTGCCCCTGCACCCTCTCATATGTGCATTTGATAGCGACAGGGGCAATTATAAAGGTATACTTCAGACAGGTCAAATGGGAAAGGGCAAAGTGCAGAACCTTTAAAGCACTGGCTGGAGTCAAAGGTTAGGACGGACATAGGACATCATAGTGTGCCACTGGGCAAGAGGTAATGGAATCGAAGCTATAAAGACACAGACTTATGAGAATGATAAAATCATCATATCTTCTCTTCATTTATGTTTTGAAAATTACATGAGCCGTTCATGATCAGAATGTCAAATTAAATTAATTTGGCTTGCCTACAGTAACTAGTTGTTTAATGTGTTTGTGTGGTGTGTGTGTCCATACACTGTACGTTGTCTGAGGAACAAACAGGCTGCATGACTATTAAATATGAATAACCCAAGGTTAAGGAAGGTCGTGGCATGCATTTAGCACCAGTGACCAATGCCAAATGTAAAGGTCAAAGTGGAATTGCCTGAGACGGAGCAATACAACGTTTGCTCGTGCACATTTATGCATCCCATTGGCAGTGATTTATGGAGGGAGATAAGCGTACAGATGGGAAGAAAACACTCTCTTTCTCCTATCCCGTCAGACTCGGTAAATACACTACTCACTCATATCAATCACCATGTCACAGTGAATCGCCACTCTATGCTTCCTGCTCAGATTAAAAACTGCCTTTGTCTTGCTCTGCCTTCTCCCTCCAGCTCTGGGGAACACACTGGTGGTATTGTTGCTATTTCACAAGCTCTATATTAGCATTTCAAACAGCTGTGGTACAAAAGTAGGGAGTATGTTCAAAGTCAGTGGTGTGCTTTAGTTATGTGCCATCTTCCACGAATAGATTCCATACTGTATCAATCATACATACATATAGATGTACGGTCCTCAATTGATCTCAAAACTGCTGAGGAGAAAATGGTATGCTTTTAAAGAAATGCTGTTATGTGACAAAATGCTTTTTCTAATATGATGTTCCCCCACTTCTGTTTACTTCTAAGCCTTGTAGAGACAGTTTTTTCTCTTCTAATGGGCTTCATGCATTTGGTTTGCATAAAAGAAACAAACCTCTACACTGTTACTTTCATCAGAATTTCATCAGAGTTCAGTTTGGAGCAGGTTTTATGCTTCAACAAAAATAAACATACACATATAAAACTGCTGATTAAAATTATTTTCCTGTCCTCTGTCCTCTGCAGTACAACATTTCTGTGCAGCTGCCAGATGGGCTGTTAAGCATTTTGCAGTAGCAGCCGCTCTGGGGGGGCCTTGACTGGGCCAACGATTAACTCTATATCCCGGCTTTTAGAAATTTGTAGGCCTCTTGAACGTGAACATGTTTCCCATGTCCCTTTGGCTCCTTAAATGTGAAAACCAGCCTGTCACTGGTGCGCCACAGCTTTCGCGAACTACCCCCAAGTGGTTCAGTATCCAGCCAGAGAAAAGTCCAAAAAGAAAACATGCTTTTGAACTGCTGGCCAAAACGGAAACATGGTCTAGTAAGCTGCTTTTTAACCTGAACCATAAAGACCAATTTTTCCTTTCCTCCAACAGTAATAAATGTGCTCTTTTCCTTTATTACACATATTATGTTTTTCCATAGTAAGATCAAAGGGTGATAATGCGCGACACCATAGGTGCCAGTGTATATTACCTGACACTTTATGTTTAGTTCTCCATCAGTCTGCATTTCAGTTTGCTCGCATTTTTAATATGACAAAAACCTGTTTAACACCAGAAAAACTGCGGTAGCATAAGTATAGAATGTTTCTCCTCTGGAAATCATATCAATCATTGCGTAGACTGTATAGGTCAGCTTTGAGGATCAGATTCTTAACATTTTAATACCAGCAATGACATTTCCCTACACACCAGCCGATCCACCATCTACCCTTCCCTCCCCGTGAGAACAACAGTTCTAAAGGCCGTTTATATACAGGACGAGTTCTGTACGATCTGTCACATTCATCTCTATTTCCCATTCACCACGGGGCATTTGAACCACATCAGAATCTATTACCACCATGCAGATTCAGCCCCCGCTGACAATACAAATCATGATAAGATGGAGCAGTGACTCCATAAACACCCTTGCTTATATATCACATCATATGAGCTGGGCTGGATAGCAGATCCCACTTGTGATCTATGTGATCGTCTATTTATATGGATGGACTAAAGATATGGATATCATTACATCTCTGTCTGTCTTTAACCTGGGTCTGGTAATACCCCATTCAAACAATAAATATAAATAGTCGTGTTTCTCTATGTGTGTGTGTGTTTATCTGCGGGAGCATCCATCACTCAGCAGTAGGAGTTCCAAATCAGTTGCTTGTGAGGAGAGATTTATGCTGTAATGCATCAAATCAACAGACCTTTACAGTAAAATATGATTTTATCAATAGGCCTGATCAATAGTGCATGCAAGACGCTGTGTAATTATTACAGAGGTCCGTATCAATAAAACTGTCACGCATGACCTCCTGCCAAAGGCTATAGAACTGGGAGTCACAGACAGTCGAAGAAAGGTTTGTGCCGTTGCCCTGAGATGTTTGATTACCTGTACATAAGGTCACATCTTTGATGTCCCATAATTTATCAGGGCATCTTAGCTGAGATGACAGTCAAGCAAAGAAAGTTATAACAGCAGTGACAAACTGCTGCATTGCAACACATTTAAACCTATATGTATATGATGCATTTTACTGACCAATTAATACCACCATGTCTGTCATTGTTAGTGAATTGTGTTTCCTTGCACCTCTGCACACATTAGAGATTATAAAGGATAGAAATGACGCAGATGACTGTCTTTACTGGAGTGAGGATCATTTGTCCTGAAGCAAGGCAATCCAACAGCGGAAGAAAGACTGTCAAAAAGAGCTTTGTATTACACTGTAGTGGGAGCTCTCTGCATTAACACACACTCACAGTCACATACACACACATACAGTACACTAGAGAGAGAGCGTGAGGCAGGGACCAATGAGGCAGTTTATATCGGGATTTTGTTTCACAGCCACGGCCTCCTGGGAGAGAGGGGTCTGCCAATAACACTTAAGAGACAGAGCAGGAAAAGTAAGTGCTTTTATTACAGCTCATCACTCATGTAATTTCTGGCAGCATTTGTGATTACAGATCAAGTGATTGACTAACTACACATTCGGCGGCTGAGTTATGAACCGGGTGCCTACCATTCCAGCCCCGGCAGATTCTCCGTGTCAGCTGTAACTCATCCTCTCCCAGGGTGCTAAATCAAAGAGCACACTGCGGCCGGAAGAGTTAAATAATAACTTGAGCTTTATTGTAAATCTGTCAGAAATTAAACCTGCATGGACGTCATCTTGGCCCTGATGTTGTACTGCATGGGGTGAAGAGGCGGGATGGAGGGGATCAATAGAGGCCCCGATGGAGGTATTGATGGATGACAGGTGAAGTGAGTGTGTATGGGTGCGTGTGTTTGTGCATGGGTGTGTGTAGGGGTGGGATTGAATCACCCTGGGGTTAGGTAGAGAGCACAGCTCAGGGTGTTTAATCGACAGGTCTCACCTTGAATCGATTGGCAGGAGTCTTGCAGGGCAAAAACGTGATACACACAACCAACACTTACTCACACACACCAAAACAAACCATAGGGAGTGTAAGAGACGATGGGGTGGGATGAGGGCGGATGTCTCAATGCCATCAGTACTGAATGCCTGTATGTAATCAGTGTTGGGTTTGGTACTCACGAAAGCAAATCTATGACTCAATTCAAAAGCACTTTTATTGTGTTCCTTGTCACTCTGTTGGAGCAACACTTCCTTTCAAATGTCTTTGCTTAGGTTTACAAAATTAACAATAGTATCTTCTTTAACCTTTAATAAAACTGCAATCAAGGTAATTAATAGCTTTGATGTTCATTTGTATTCTTTGGCCAACTGAAATGACGACTACTGTGATGATGAATAACAGGAACAGGAATAAGATATCTCTTCAAAATTTCAATATAACTCAAAATGTAGAGGTGGTACAGTAATTGAAAACTTTACACCGTGTAAAATCAGTGCTTAAAGTGATAAAATATTAATCACCCCGGCATTACTAGCGGTATTAATATGAAATATTAATATTATTGAGAAATAAATGTACTTATATTTGACTACATATCTGAGTGATGTGTCTAACCCAACACTGCCAACATCTTATTGAGAGAAGGTCCTTTTTTGTTAAATGTAGATAACGAGAAAACATCACATGCGCTGTTAATAATGAAATCCTGACAAGAGGAATTACTATGTGGTTGTGGTCTGTGCTGTGGCAAAGAACCAGTTTGCATATAGTACAAGACTAATGAAGTACCTCTCTCTAAGAAACAAAAAAACAAAACAGAGCACAGCAGACCCGAAGAAAGCTCTGTTTCCTGTAATGATCCTACTTTGTTTTGAGGACCCTCATCATATAGTATTTTCTCACGCTCAAAAGAGCCAGGGCAGCATGCATATGTGACTCATACTGCAGAGACGGGCAGCCATGAAAACACTACACCGTGAAATGTCTTACAAGAGGCCAAGATCTGAGAGGGCGTTATGTCTTTAATAAACAACATACTGTAAGTATTAAAATGAAGGAGGCTTGGTAGTATATACAGTAAAAAAAACTAAATCCTCTAAGGGCCTGTTGAAATGTGGTGATTCAAAGACTCTGTAGCTCCTACATACAGCTTTGACTGTAAGACCAAAGTCTAATGCTTTCAGATGAGGTTAAGGTTCATGAGTGTCGCTGACTGAGATGGTTTGTAAGAGGAGCATATATGCCAAATCATAAAGTGAAGCCCATTAATGCTGATCTGGATTCTGTTTTAGAGAGCTCTTACAGAGCAAAAGAGGCTGTTTGTCAGTCACCTTGTCTGTAAACGTTTCGCTCAACAGAGACTGAGGACTTTCTCCCAGCTTTCATTGCTAAAACAGTGTGGAAACAGTAAGACAGTTAAAATAATCTGCATTGCAGAAGCAATCCAAAGTCTTTGGGGCGGTGACATGTGGAAGTCGTGTGCTTGTAAACACTGTTGTACCATATAACATTGCTCAGGACATCGATTTTCAATGTCACTCCATGTTACGCAGTGATTCGCTATATCTCCAGTGGATGGGAGGAGAGAATTGTTTCAGGTAAGGCATGTCCTTGAAGTAAGGTGCGTACGTTTGTTAGTGGCCGTTTGTGCAGCCGTTCAAGCAACTACTTTGCATTTAGAAATCCCCAGACGATTGGTAGGCACTGAGATCTTCCGTCGTCTGGTAGTGCCAGACTACGTGTGTTATTAAGTAGATAATAGAGTGCACATTCTCTCTCCATTAATTTTTGGGGACTAAGGGGTAAAAATGCTTTAGACACTGATGACTTTATGGATACATATGTTGTTTTCAAATCGTTCACATAACCTGACATAAAAGGGTTAATATACACAATTGAAACACTACAACATCAGATAAATAAGATACATTTTCTAGGTCCAGAAGTGAACAGAACTGGATCTGTGGATTCTCATTGATTCTTCCGAGAAGTGCCAAAGGCAGAAACCCCTCTGCTGTGTGTTGGACAGTACCTGAATGGTTCAGAAGAGGAAGGAGTTGGAGAAAGAGAGATTTTGACTTGTGGTCCCAGGTGTAAGGAAGGGGAGGCCATCTGAGCTTGCTGTCCAGGGCTCAGATAGGAAGGAGAATTATAAATCGGACACATGAGGCCAGAGTGTAGTCTAATTCTTGAATGGTGACCAGAGGCTATCCTCTGAGTCACAGGACCTGTACATTTCCCAGGAGGTGTGGGTTTGGGTCTTGGCCTGGGACTTCTGTCACTTTCACATTTTTGAACCAGTTCAGTCAGATGTGTAGATCTCTCCTGAAGAGACAAAAACATATGAAAAAAGAAAAAAAAACACGTGAAAACAGCCTACTTGGTGCTGAGAATTTGAAATTGCTTTCTAGGGTATATAAAGGTTTTTATAACTTAATTGTTAACTGCTTACGGCTAGTAAATTACTGTTTTTGCAGCAGTCCACTACTAAAGTCACACCTCAAGCCTGCCAGCCAGTTAATGTATACTTGCTTCATTATTCCCAGCCGAAGCAATTCAATACTGCCTCTCAAATTACAAAACCACTTAGCTCTGGACATTTATAGTAAGTTTAACAAACAAACAGGTTGAGGTCTATCAGCCCTGTGATGCTACCAGGCCATTCTTTTCACTTTCTATTGTCAGCTATAATAAATGCAGAATTACGTTTCAATTGTACTTATTGAGTCAAAAGTGATAGAAAGGAATAAAGAAAAATACATTTAATACAAACATACATGTGAATGTTTGTTTCCCTTTAAAGATATATGCACCCTCCTCATAAGAAACACACCAGCAACAAGCTGGATTAACACTCACCTTCCGAGCCCCAGCTGAAACTCGGCTATGAGCTTGCTGTCCTGTAAGTATGCGGGGCAAGGTGCTGGTACTTTTTTGCTCTTCCTCTGACCTGGGTAAAAGATGCAAAGTGGTGAAGACTGCATCTCTGCTTCCTCTGCTTCTGCATGGTTCTTTCTTCGTTTCCCACGGCCCTGCTGTCCTGCAACCCTCCCTCTCAGCCCCCTGGTTGGATTTGATTGATGATTGGCCATTTCCTCTCCTGTCCATCCTCACAGCAGACCTGGCTACGGTTAATGCTGAATCATGAAATGCTCCATCTCCCCCATCTTTGTTTGGTCTTTCGTCAAGTCTTTCTTCTTCCTCTGCAGTCTTGCTTTCTTTATATTTCTCCTGCTCCTCAGTGGTCCTGCTCACTGGTCTCTCCAGACCTTGAAGCAACTTGAGATGAACCTGCCTGGAGTCCTGTTAGGAGGATACAAAATATCTATTTAGGTTATTCCTATTGTGACACAGCTTAAATGTATAGCCAAAGTAAAATGATAGGAACAAAGGTATAGCTCATTGCAACTTAGTCATTTCTGGGCAGACAGCATGGCTTACTAAATGTTGAGCATTACTGTAGCTTTAATGTAATGTGGTTACTTTTTTCAGTAATCAGTAGCATAAGGCAATACAAATTATATACGTTACTTATCCCATAACTGCTTATGGCTTAAGCTTGCTGTCTTACTGGATTTGATTCTTGTGGGGCTGATTTTCAGTTCCTTCTCTGTGTATTCAGGGGGGGAGAATTGTCCAGGACCATGTTGGAGGTTGGGAAGGTGAGAAAGGCTGTTTAGCCTCTACCAAAAAAGGTGAGAAATTCACCTCTCAGTAGCAATAGAAATCCCTTTTGGTAACAAGAAATGCACTTCCTGGTACCTCAAGTTTTCAAATGTATATGTTTTGGATTCTTTGTGGGCTTGGTAACGTAGTGAACATCACAATTTGACTGTGAGGACGTTTCTGGAGTGCTGTGTGCTGTCACCAGGGCTAAGCTAGCTGCTGATGGTCAGTAAATCCCTTGATGACATCATCTCGTTTTCTACTTAGGATGAGTCATATGGGAATGGAAGCCTTGAAGGTGTTTAAAGGGCTCATGGAGCTGTGCTGAGAAGAAAAGTAATATAACAAGTCATGTAACTAATTACTTGTTAGTAAAGTAATGTTATTACTTTTCAATGATTAATATTTCATGAGTAACTGACTGAACTTTTCGAGAGACTGGACTTACTGTATTTAATGTCTGAAAAAAGGAAAAGACATTAAACAATGTAAAATAAATTCACTCTTAAAACTAAGACAGCATAGTATTTTGGGTTAAAGTGCATTTAGAATATATGAGCAATGCATGTATGTGTGTACCTGCACGTGCATGCATGAATGTGTATGTCTAGAGGTGAGAAAATTGCCCTGGTAAGGTTGCCTTCATCAGTTCACAGTATAATTCTAATTGGCTTTATTAGGGGGCTTAAATCTAATACCAGCTCTGTGCGCTGCCTTAGGCTCTGTGGGTTTGTGAGTGTGTGTGTGTGTATGTGTGTGTGTGCGCACACCTCTGTTTGATGTTTACGACTCACCAGATCTCTCACAGAATGTTTTCTATGTAACAGACATTGGTGGATGGACTAACACAGCCCTATCACAGTAATAAAACTACATTCCCCCTGTGCCTCAGCCTGGTGCAGCACAATTCTACAGTCTGAGAGCAGAGCCCCAGTCAATGGGCAAATACAGCATTTAGAGGTTCAAGTCCAATGAAGCAGCAGCACTGTAACACCAGATGTAATGGTACAGACTTAAGGCAAAAGAAAAGCTGCATAAAACTGCACCGCAACATTTGACCCCATTTAAAAACTTGATACCAATTAGAGAGTTCTGGTTGTAAATAATTTAAGAGATCTCTCTCACTGAACACACAAAAATAATTTTACAGGCATACACACATGTATGCATGAATGTGCGTGTGCATCAGCAAAATCTCACACATTAACCTATGCACATATGCACACACTCCTGTGCACATATGGACACGCACATGCACACACATAGATTCCACCATGCTCTGGAAACAGACTTCTTAATGAAGCCTTCCCCAAGTGAAAGTAGAGCAGAAATACATACTGGCCCATTTCTGCCTTCAGTTCACCCTCCTCTCCTTGTTCTCTCTCTCCCTCACCTTCTGCATATCATTTGTTTTATTCATGTTTCGTTGTCTTTCTCTGTTGTCTCAATGAGTTAAATCACAACCCCTAATTTATGGCTACAGGCAAAGACAATTCTACAAACAAACTGGCTGATGAGAGGAGATGACTGAAAACATACGCACCGAGCGGTGTGTGTAAATCTTAAAATGTCTGTTACTGTCTTTTTATCTATGGTTATTTACATAAGAAATGACAATGTGTGTAAAAGAATGGCTGTGATACAAAATGAAAAGGCTGTGCACTGGAGGAGAGAGTAAGTGTGAGAGAGGAGGGGAAGAGAGAGAGAGAGTAAATCCAGTGACACTGAGTGGGGAGCACTCAGGTGTGGTGAGAGGATTATACAAAACCCTGAGAATGAATGACAGTAAACACCTGAATGACAGAGAGATGGGGAGGGGCGGGAGCTTGAGTGTGTGTGTCTGTGGGTCTGGGTGACAGTTTAGTGGCCCTCGCTGATATTCTGAGAGGTGAGAGAATATATTCACCACTTAATATTTTGATGGCTGTGCTGTTTACTCAAGTGCAACTTGTTATATCGTATCATTCATTACTGATATGTTGATTTACAACATGTGCAAAGAAACTGAAACAATGAATGAAAGGATTTGAGAAGCAAACAATGGGTGCGTGGGAATGTGGATGTCAACAAGGCAGGCAGGGAGTGTGGAAGAGGAAGATATCAATCAGGAGCGATCCACTGCAAGAGTTAGGGAGCTGTTCAGTTAGCAAGCGAGTTACAGATTGAGCTTTACAGTATACAAGTAAGTCAATAAAAGGGCTATAGAGCAAGAAAGAGGAGACATGTATGTTTATCTTACTTGCACTGGGTTTTCTTTCTCTGTGCGCTCTGTCGGTAGGGGATTGCTGACAAGGTCTCTGAAGCAAGCTTCAGTTTCTGGGTGAGCACATTCTCTGTTCTTCTCTCTGCTCCCTGAAACACAAACACAACTCTCAGCACCTCCAATCAACACGTAATGTCCACTTTTGTCTTTCCTATTCTTTCTATTCCAGTCTTTGGTTGTGAGCATGGTTATTTGTGACTTTTCAGTTGCCACATCATGTTATTTAAAAATAATTTAGAAGAGAGTGTGTTGATTTCTATTGCTGTGCAGCTGAGTAAGCTGAAGGCACGTCAAACTTCTTATGCAATAATCTTATGCTGTGTTATTAATATGACCCTGTTGATTTTTCTTGACTTGCATGATTAAGTTGGATAAAAAGGAACTTATTTTTGCAAGCCATTAGCAGGAGTGCCAACACATTCGCCCCCCCTTGTGGATGCTCAAATGTGTTTTTAACCTTTGGCTTAAGGTTAAATTCCGAAGAGAGCAATGCATGTCGATTCCTAGATCTGCTCTTAGTGAAATCCCTCACCTCTAGAGCTATATCACTGTACAGCGCTGACTCTACATGAAGCGTGACCCCGTTTCCCCAACGGCGACCCCCTCCTTCCCTTCACAGCCTTGGAAGATAGAGGAGCACAGGGGAAATGCATGCCAAGGCAGTAGACACTTTTAAGCAAAGATTAAAGGTTTTTCTTTTTAATCAGTCATTTGGCAGCGATGTTAGCATTTCACCCTGGTGCGGCTAAGGATCAATTTTTAATGCTGCTGTGCAGAGAGCAGACAGGGTGATTGGCAAGAGAGAAGCTATTTACAAAGGATCTATTTACAAATTTTCCATAGAAATATGCAGAGGGCACAATTGACATCTCTTACAGAATTTTAAATCAGCTCTCTCCCTTTTTTCACTTCGTCACAAGGCACGACCTCTGTGAGCCCCTGATGATCACTGCTCTGTGTGTGTTCACTCATATGTGTCTCACATGTAAGAATAATAAGGAATCTACACCTCTCCCCTGTGTTGCATTGTGTTACTTTTCTCCATGTTGTGTTGCCAGGGGCTGGGTAACTAGGTCAATCAACCCGGGTGTAAACACATCATAAGAATACACCAAGAACATGCTAATGACAATGACTGTTTTTAAATATATACTGTATCTCTCTACTTTTCCCATTCTTATATGTAACAATAAAGCTTTATTTATATAGTATAACTCAATTTAAGGTTGTGTATATCTAAGGAAAACAAATAGTGGGTAGCTAGCTACTATACATAATAGATATACTGCTATATGTCCCCCTCAATAAAAAAACTATAGTAAAAGTCTAAAAACTAAATAATAATAATAATAATATAAAGTTGTTTTTTTAAATAAATTTAACAAGTATCAAATTAATTACTTTACCTTACAGGAAATCTCAGTGAGTGTTGACAATTGATATATTCAGACCCACACAAGTTCATGTTTAGACAGACCTGCCACTGCTGTCACACCATGCATCAGTCTTCAAATCAATCCATGAATCAATCCATATATCCATCCATCCATTATCCAACCGTCTATTCACCCGTTATCCAACCATACATTCATTCACACAGTCAGGCGGTCTTCCAGCCGACCAACCCACATACCATTGATCCAATGATTGACCCTGAACTGGGTGGATCAATACTCTCTTGAATGGCATCATTGTAAGCGCTTAGGCACAATGGCCCAGCGTTGTTTGTGCAGTTCATTTCTAAGGTAGCAAGGCCATGCAGGGCTCTAACCCGAGTCAACTCTCCTTTCTGCTCCACTCATATGATCACAGCAAAGAGACAAGAGGGGTCAGAGAAAGGAGCATTGAGCAGCCTGTATCCTATACGCATGCAACAAAAGGGACAGTGGTCCATGCAGAACTACATGTAATGACTCACGACTATTAGATACTTCAGATAAAGATGTCTGTAGATAGAGCAGGTTTACAGACACATAACTGCACTGTTACACAGGCAAGTAGATAGATAAGAGTAATAGCATACATTCAAACATTTATAGATGAAAGAAGTCATGTGATGGTGCAGATCAACATAAACAGGTGCAAACTGAGGGTAAAGTTAAACAAAACCATGCCGCGCAAGACACGCATTTCCTCTCCACTTCCACCTCAGATAACTCTAATACTACTCTATGTTAGCAATGTAGTATTTTAAAGAAATAATTACTGTAGATAACAGTGGTAAAGGTATTGTTTGGAGGAGCAGCAGTATTCAGTAGGCTCATGCTCAGTATACCACTGTGTAGCCTATTGTGGCTTGGTGTGCAAACAGAAACCCTGCTGGGTTAGAGCTGGGGCTGGGTCTTGGCATTAAATGACTGGGACTCTGACAAGTCTCAGAGTTCTGTCACTGTGGTTCACAGGTCTTGTTAGCCAAGGTGTCGGCAGGGCTGGAAATGACTGTGTGTGAGTGTGTCTGTGTGTGTGTATATGTGTGTGAGGTGAGCATTAGACAGCACTCCTACCTCCACCTCCTCACCTGACACCAGCAATAAAACTAAACGTGTTGTAAGTGTGTGTGTGTGTGGTGGACGTGCACACGGAAAAAAGGGGGGCATGTGTTGCATGCCAAGGGTTGTTGCTTGCCCTGTCACCAAATTTGCCCGGGGCCTCCCAGGGACCCGGAGTAGGAGCAACTTGGTGACGAGCCTGGGGCTGATAAACAGCAAGGAGCCCTGCTTCGATTTTCCCATCCAGTCCACTTTGGAAACACATGCGCTTCTTCCTGTGTCTCCTTGGCTCCTGGGAATGAAAGTATGGAGGTGGAGTGAGGATTTTGGGGTCAAAAAAGGGAGTGTAGGTGAGGAAGAATGAGAGGCCATCAAGTGGTAGACATTAGTGATGGTGTGGCAAGTGAGGGGAGATAGCAGTCACGGAGGAAGGATTTGTGAGGGGAGGGTGTAGGAGTATATGTAAGAGTGTTTATGAAGAGTTGGAGAGGGTAGAAAGAGGTGGCAGGCCTGATGGGATCAGGTGCATTTACTTCCAAAGAGATGTCAGACCTTCCATGCTTCCATAGACTAAACAGAGAGAGAAAAAGAAAGGAGAGGAAAAATGAAAAAGAGACGGATGTGAGTTGCGGAAAATTTGACTGATCCTCTAAACAACTTACACTTTCAAAAAGATGCTTTTAAGGTGAAAACAGAGACATACAATCTCTTAACCTCCTCTTCTTAGCTCCCCCCCACCTCTTTCAATCTTTCATCCTCCCATTCCCTCCATCTCTTTTCCTTTTGCTTGGAAACAACTTGCAGTGTTCCGCCTTTCAACTGACATCAGAAGTTTAAAGACCAACTCCAGTTGGAGGAACAGAGCAGCGTCTGTGAAGGAGGTGAGGCACCAAACTCCCCTCTGCCCCCCTAGAGAGTTAAGGAGATCACATTTTAACCCCCCCACCAAACCCCACCCTGCTGCTCCTCTCCTCCATGCCTTAATACCAACATAAGAGGACAAGTGTGGGCTCTAAGCACCAGTGATCAAACACGAGCGGCTGCTGGGTGCGCTAGGCTCAGGACGGTTGGCCTAATAGGATTGGAAGCCCCCAGGTGAGCCAAAGGACACCTCCAATCAGCGTGATTAGCCAAGGGCTAAGTAGCATTTCTAGCTATAGCACTGAGTGATGTACAGTACTAAAAGGATCACATCAGTTGTGGAGGATGGAGGCAAGTCATGGATACGATTGCCATGGTTGATGGTGCATGTCAAAGTTTTGTGTGGGACTGATGGAGTTTAAAGTTGTGTCAAAATGATCTTGAGATTTTGACTGTTTGCTAATCATCATTAAGTTCACACAAGCGTATGATGTGTGGGGCTTTGGAATAATCTTGTCTTTCTGGCTACTTATAAAAACAGTGCATGTTGTATACATGTATGCACACAGCCTTAATGCAAGACTACACATGCATAGACACATAGACACAGATCTGCATGCTCACTAAGTCTCAGCATCCACACATTCAGTCACATACATACATACATACATAACACACCCAGATACACACACACACACACACACAACACACACACACAACACACACACACACAGAGGCAGGCTTTTATAAACTCATCACATCCAAAAAACAATTACCAGAGACTGAGCTCATCACTGACTAAGCAAAAGTCATCCAGCGTGTAAAACACACAATATAATTAGCACACATCAAGCTGCTGTGTCCTACTGTGCATTAATGATGCTTCCCTCTGAAGTGAATTATGGTTTGATGAGTGAGAAAGTGAGTGAGGAGGGGCTTTGAGGAGGAGCAAGACATCATTTGGAAAGGGGAAGAAGAGAAGCCAGTGCGGAGGGAAAAGGGGTGAGTAATAAGATTCAAAACCAGGATTTGAGTGGTTTACTTTCGTTGACCTGCTCTCATTGCCTCAAAAACAATTATCTAGAGATATATAAACATTCAGGGATAAATGATAGATTACTCACTTGTGGTGAGGGCCATCATATGCCAGGTTCCACAGGATACATCACATACCTACAACAAATGTAAACAGAATTTAGCACATAGGTGTATCAGCATGAGCCATTTTTATCTACAGACACCATGGGTCATCTTCAATGAACCACCATGTTTCTACAGTAGCCCAGAATGGACAAACCAAACACTGGCTTTAAATAGAGCCACTCTTTTTTTATTCCTGGCATATTGCATTTCTGTTTTCATAAGCTAAATACCTTCTGTGACATCATTATTTGGGGTGCTGTTCAGAAGATCTACCGACTTTAAACTTTACAACTCACAGAAAGCAGTGCAGTCCAGAAAACATAATGTGTCCAGTCTTTCTCATACGCACCTTTCCGCCAGCCAGTGGAACAGGCTGGGGGGTCCAGAGCCTTTTGAGGCCTGGATGATCACTGACCAGGGACACACAGGGGATCTGACCCCAGAGAAGCAGCTCTCCACCTACTGGAGATATGAACAAAAGGGAAAAATGTTCAGACAGATGCGTCAGAAATATAAACAATGTCACCTTGCCACATATTTTATATGAAAACTTTTATCTCAACTATATAATGCCTTTGTATGCGCTTCACATGTTTCTGACCCTCTCCATGGTATTGACAGATTGTAATTGTAGGTCCCTGATCATATTTATATGACAAGACACACATTTTGTTGTCATGCTGGAAAGATAAGGGCCAGAAGTGGTTCTCCCTCTTCAGTATCCCTGGGGACCCCAGCCTACCATAGATTCAAAAAGAAACAGTGACCACTAATTAGAAACAGTTAAATGGAACTGAGAATTACATCCCGTCAGTTTAGTTTAGTTTAGAAGAGGGAGTTGATGTACAGCACTTTATTGAGACGGTAACCCCACCCACAAACCACACACACACACTCACCTGTCTTTGTGGCGTGCCGAGCAGCGGGAACACATTCTGAGTTGGCACTTATCAAAGACACGCACAGACGCAGACACAGACACACACACACTGCATGTACTCACATACAGCAAACACTCAAGCATCCACTCACTCATGCTACCTCTGTCTGCCTGTTTAAACCTGCCACTAATAAATTTATATTTACTGCCTGCATTGAGGACTTTTAAATTATGGCATACAATAAACCTGGCACACACATCTCCAAAGCTCTTTCAGGGGATGTTAAAGCAATATAGTAAGCAATTTTCCAAAGTGGATTACAAATTTCACATCCAGGTTTTATTGCACATTACGATAACTTAACCACATCTAAATGTTCCGCATAAATGGGAAATATGTGCTGCTTAATATGCTATTTTTCATTTTTTAAGAAGCGCTTTGCAAACCCTGCCAAGCAAGGGAGCATGCTGGTTTGTGTGGTGGGGGAGTCAATAATCTTTATGAGGTGGATTTTAATTACAAGGAGATAACTGAGTATCCTCCTCACGGCAAGCCTCCATCAATCTCTATTCTGCATCAAGCTGTACGTAGCCTTGGCACGCACACATGCATACACATGCGCATACACACACAGACACAGATACCCTTTCAGACATGATTGATCAATCAATCAGTAATGTATTATTTTCATCTCAGCGAAGCAAACGTTATAAAAGCATGTGCAGCAGGCGTTGCTAGATGGCGTTTTACCACACACAGAAACACACCAGTTTACAGGACTAACACACGCATGTACATACACACACAAACTGACACAGAAACACACACATATACCGAGACGCAGGCAGGGTAATCCAGCTAAAAAAGGTTAAGGCTGATGTTTTCCCAAAGAACGACGGTCTGTGAAAGGTCAGATCAATCATGTGCTAAGCATGCCTCGTAAGCAATCCATAAAGAGCTTGTTTTAAATAATAACATTTTATAGATCACCTAAAGACATAACTGTACCACCGGCAGGTAGGGCCGCACTCTCCAAATAGTCTTTAGTGCAGCAAGAATTCAAATGGGACCAAACTTAATATGTTGACTGCAGTTCATTTAATGAACCGGTGGCATTTTCAGCAGAACCACGCGCACAGTGCCAGCAGACGTCTCTGTTCAACAATAGGCAATTCTTTTAACAGAATATTGCAGTACAGCAGTTGGCTGTAAATGTGCCCTGGTCTTGAAACAAGTACAATGCCTTTTCTCTTTAAGTGGCTGATGTTACATTTGTAGTGTAACCACTTTAATTCCAGCTGTCTGGCAGAAGGCAAGCAGCAATTGAAGAAGAAGTAGTTGTCTGACACTTTGTAATGGTGTAAATGCATTAGAACTAGTTTTGTGGCAGTTCAATGACTCTCTATGGAGCAGAGGAGAGATGAATCAGATTGCTGAAAACCATACAAGTTAGAGAATAAGAGAGTGAAAGGTAAAACACATACTATCTGACTACGTGTTTTTAAGTTTAGTCAGCAAGGAGGGCTCTGAGTTTGGCTTTTTAGGAATTACAGGAAAGACAGCAGGCCAGTGCAAAAGCTGATATAAAGAGATGGTCCTCCTTATCTCTCAGTCTTATTAATAACAAAGTAGCTACAGGGATAGTCAGAAATCTTAGTAGGGTAGTTTAGGGGATAGCTGGTTGAACAACAAATCAATTCATTATGTACATCATCTATCACATAACACTACTGGGTGCAGTATTGCACAATTTTGCTTGGTTTAAGAGATATTGAGAGCTAATGAGGTTGGATTTGTGCTCCGAGTGATGTCATTTGAGGACACTGAATCCTTGTAGTGTTAATTAAAACTCAATGAAATGATGTAGATGAAACATTTGCATGGCTGAGAGCCACAGTTAGGGATACTGCTGGGAAAATAAGGTTTTTAAGTGAATAAGTTGTTATTATATTATGTAGGGTGAATACAACTTTTTAGGATTTTTAAAAAATATAGATATCTGCAGTGACAATTAGCCGTTTTGGAGGTTAGAGTTAAGCTTTTGTTTAATTGTGCTTCACACTTTTAGGCCAAAATAATACAGACGATAGAAAGATAAAACCTCTCTGGGCTACCACAGAAGGTTGGATGCTTGACTCACCTGTGACTGCTGCACTGTAGCTGTCCCCTGCTTGTATCTGTGTGACCTCAGCAAACTGAGAACAGCTGATAAGACAAGGGGTGGAGATGTGAATCCTGTCCTCTCCAAGTCCAAGCTGTCCCTGCAAGCAAAAATAATGACACAGTATCAGTTACAGGATTAAATAAAGACACGTGCCGAAGCGGTATTTCAATTTTGGGGAAAGGACCATTTTCCTATTTTGTGTGGCTCCAGCAAGTGACTCAGATCTACTTCATCTTTCATATCATCCTAATTCATGCTGCCCTGCCATTCCTGAATGTAAACATGGTTGTTAGATTTGTCAAATAGGACTTGTATATCACCTCTGGAGTATCATAATTTAAGTGCATCTCTGTAAAGCCCTGTTATAATATCTGCTGTGTAAGGTTATATATGACACCGGCAACTGGCAATTCATCTTGTCTCAAATGGCTGTCACTGAGGAGGAAATACTGTTAAAAAAGGCACACTGCACATTTCCTTCACCCGCCAAAAGTCTACTGTGTTTCATGTTTCATTTACCATCAATGTACAACTACTTGGCAATGCAATCCCTCATCGATGAGTGTAAAAACTCTGCTCAAACACAAAGCCTTGTGCAGTACAATAGAATGTGTTGTCCTCAATTTACATCTCTTTCTTTGTGTTATAAATGGTGAGGGTGTTCAGTTTGACTTCTTGGAGCCATCCAGCTCCTCTCTTTCCTGCTTGCTCCTGCAGAGATAAAGGGCTTTCTGCACTGTGCTCATGTGCACATCGGCATGCCCTGGCATATGTTTGAAAGTGAGCACAATATGTGTGGGTTTACATTTGACTATGTGTGTGCGCCATGCAGTAATCTGGGTCTTTAATTGCTTATTCGTATGTGCGCTACTGTGAGGATTTGTAGATGCGTGGCAGCATATGTTCCTGCTGTGAGTGTGTGTGTTTATGTATTTATAGGTGTGAGTGTTTATGCTTCCATCAGAGTGTGTGTAAGTTTACTTGCATTTATATACAGGTAAGTGAGCAGATGTGTCCATACCTGAGTTTGTGCACATGTTTGTGTGTCTGCATGTGTTTATACTTGTACATGTGTATTTCTTTGTGTGTCTGAGTGAATGAGCACTGTCAGGTGCTGCTCCATGCTGTGCCAGCTGCATCTGGAGCCATCTGTGTTGGGGCTCAGTGGGAGGGAAGCGGATGACTTTAATGTACTTGAACCCCAGACAGACCTTTCCCAGACACTCGTCAATATGAAACCAAGACAACTGGGCCCAGTCAAGCTGAACCGGCTGATCTGGGTGGTGAGCAGGAGACAGACGCTTTGGTTACACTGTAACCCCCGGTCAGACTCACTAGGGAACTTCTGGCAGTCAGATACACACAAACACTGGAATCTGTTTGTTTCAATGATAGAATAGTAGTGTTTTATATCAGAGGACACTCTCACCTTTTCTTAGCTGTCAGTGGTCTGCTGCCTACTTTCTACAATGTAATTCTGGTTTACTTTTTTTCATGTGTCTGTGCGCCTACAAGTTAGTTTGTTCAAACACGTTTGTGTACAGAATAAGAAGACTTGCAACTTGACTTTTGACTTTATAATTTATTAACTTTTGACCAAAAATACTAAATAGAGGAAATGTCAGTTTTTCCACAAATTTCTCACAGAATTTGGTTCAGATCTGTGGTTTTGAAAAACCGGTACATGTAGAAATTGCATTAACATGATAAAGAATGCATTATGACTACTTTAGGACTTGAAACCATAAGTTTAGCCTTGGGTTTTGCCTTTATTGACTTAGGCCTTGATTGTCAGGACTTATTTGTGACTTCCCCCCTCTGTAGCCCTCTTATTCTCAATACACTATCACGTAATAAAATAGCATGATATCTATTCAAAATGACAACTGTACTCAACACTCAACACCCACAAAACTAAGCAGCAAAACAGCACAGTATATCAACACACAATCTTCCACCACAAAGAGATCACAGAGGCCTAGTAATGATCTTGCAGCAACAATATGATTAGTGAAGCACAAAATCAATTAATGCAGCAGTAGAATCAATAGGTGTCTCTCAGCATATATGTCCTGCAGTTAATTAATAAACAAAAAGGACATTAAGCAGCAGAGCATCAGACTGTGGCAACGACTGTCATCAGTCACAACGTGTGTACTGATGGCATCAGCAGGAAGGGAAAGGGAAAACATAGACAGATATAAATGTGAGGATGGCGAAATGCCGAACACACCCACAGGCAAAGATGCTTACACTATGTACACATACATCTGAGAGCATGCATAGACACACACTAATGTACAAATGCACTCACGCATGTGCCCTCATACACATACACAAAGACATGTTGTTGTTTTTTTCTCTTTCTCTTTTTTCCACTTTATTTTCTTTCACACAGAGGGAATCCTGTAGACTCATGGTATCAATAATGCTCATTTTACTCCACTGTAGCAGCCCAGGCCATATTAGCATCAATTTGGAACAGGCCCAGGGTTCGATGAGGCCTGAACTGTGCTGGAACCAGGCCCGGGGTTTCCACCACCACCAGGCCGGCTCACTTATTATTTACCATGCCTGATGAGCAACCCTCATCATTACATCACAGACAGGATTGCAGTTGACAGAGTGAATGGCCACACTGATCTGAAGCGATACCTTAGACATACATAAACACATGATACACTTTCCCTGATTGAATGAAGGAAACCTTTATTGCCCTACAGGGGAATTTGCTTTGCACAAAGAGCATAAAATAATATGAAAAAAACATATAACATGATCGATAAAGGACATCAAGTGCAAAGTCAATTTGTTTGATGATTTATGTGAAACTGTTGCACTTACATTGCCCTCTCCACTTTGCTGTTCCTAGTTCAAAATTTTTTCAGGAGTATCAAATATTTATTCCAGGAAGACTGGTAATGCAGATATTCTCTAATCTGTAGCTCATCTCTGTACCATCATTTGCTTTGTATGAGAGAACGATTTTCTTTCCTTGCTGTCTACCTCATTATTTAGGCTGCTTAGAGCTCACATCAGAAGTATATTGGATTGTTATGTCAATTCAGGTCTGGTCTGGTTGAACTTCCTGACACAAGGACAGCAGACAGTTGACCCTGTTATCACACAGCTGACATTAGGAATCGAGACATGACTCCCGACCGCAGATGTAGATATATTTGTCTGTACTACGTTTATGGCGTCAGTTACAAAGGCTAACTGTTTAATTCAATAACTAACATAATGTAAAGTAATTGAGATAACTATTTAGATATGAACATTTTATTGCTTATTAAAAATAGTAAATGTAAAAGTGGTTGTTTACTCCACAAAACATCTGATATACTACTTTTAGTTCTCCTGCCTGTCCTGCTACTTATTTGTTACCCCTATTATGCTGTTACTATTGATTCTGGCTGTGGCACACACTCTCTGACATCATTCAAATTCCTTCTCACCTCAATCATGTGATACAGCGCAGGCTGTCCATCTTTTAGTCTCAATAGGAGGAAAACAATGAGATTTCTATCTGTAATACTATTACCAGCCGTAATAGGGTTAGAGCTGCCTGGGTTTACCTTGGTAAGGCAGCGGAAAACTTTATTAGGTTTAAGACCTTTTGCTTTTCTACTTTTTCTCCTGCTACTGATACATAAGAGCCTTTAAGCCCTAGAGAGAGGAAGGTATCAGCTTAGTAAAAAGAAGTTCAAGATGGCCCCTCATCTTACTTCTTCTCCAGTGACAAACAAAGTGTTATCTTTCAGGAGGTGGAACCTTTCTTATTTGTTTACATGTTGACGGGAGTAGTTTCGGTGTGGCACTGTGCGGCTGATTACAGGGGGAGTCTTAATCAGGTGGTGCAGTCTGCTCGGGGCCCCTGGGGCCGAGAGTGTGCTACATCCTGTCAGACTGCACAGAGAAACAATCAATCATCAGAACGGCTCCAAGACAGAGGAGAGAGAGAGGGCAGGGAGATAGGAGAGATGGAGGAAGAGGAGAAAAAACATGATGAGGGGAGAGAGGAAAAAGAGACAGTGCCCTTGCAGAGACTAGCACAGTTATAAAGACGCAAGAACACCTATGAAAATCCAATGAGTCTAGTTAGACTACAAGCCACCCTGCAATGTAAGAGCTCAGTGTGGAAGCCAAGGCCACGTCAACGCTCATAACAACTGATGTCTAACATTTTCATTGCTCCCCCTGTCTCTCTAACCTTCACCTACATGTTTGTTTCACTGCCCTGGCAAAGCGTCATCCTCACTGTCACGTTGTAAAAGTGATCACATTTTGGCCGTGGTTTCAAACGTCCTCACAGATAAACACCAAAGCCGAGAGGAAAAAGAATCAGAGAGAGAGGGGAACAGAGGGATTGAGGTGGGCCTAGGTTTTACACTCTCTGGGCTCTGTCTGAAGGCTGTGTAATGATGCGGCTCTTTAAAGAACGTCTTAAATGAAAGGCCAGAACAATCCTCGGTGACAGGTGGGATTCTTTATCTAACAGAGAAGGAGAGACAGGACAGGGCCAACAAACGCACACGCACACAACCTCACATACACATTTTGGCTATGTATGTTCAAAGGGGCATGCTCATACATAAACTACACTAGATCCCAGAAAGAGGATTTCCTGCTCTGTGTATGTGAATCAAAGAAGTTGAAATGGTCAAACAGAAGATCCCATAAAGGTGATTTATAGAATTTAAAAAGATGTGCGTTCTTGGCACACCATGAAGGATATTAAGTGCTCAAAGGGAGGGCTCGGACACAGATCCCTCCAAAATCTTTTAATCTCCACTGTGGAAGGAAAAAATATCTTCTCAAAATGTCTCAAAAATGGAAGAGAGACGGACAAAGAGAGAGAGAACACTTGTGAGATATGAAAAAAGCCTCGAGTCCAGTGTTGTTCTTAAGTCTGTCTCGCCTGGCAGGGCCAAAAGTGGAAAAATGTTTGGCTTACCTCTTGCCCCATCCCCCAGGAGAAGACATTCCCACCATCTGAAAAAAAGAGAGAGAGAGCGAGAGACAGGGTGAGAAAGAACGCAGTAAACCAACAGTCTGCAAACAATTCAAAAAAAGCAACAAATAGAAGCCTGGGGTTAAAATAGAAAAGAAAAAGAAAAAACAAAAGCGGGGAGAGAGAAGGGAAATGCGCAGCTGACAAAAGTGGCTCAAGCATCATACATCAAGCACTTGTTACCTCTCCCGGTGCTTGTGATTGCACATGACTGCAAACAAGTCAGTGATAAAAATCTGAAGAAAGATGAGACCGATCGGGCTGGCTTTAAAGATCATCAATCACGGCCCTGTAAGCTCAGATATTATTAGTTCAAGTAAAGCTGCACTCTTCCATTTTATGGACATCATAAAAGACTTTGGGGGGGTGGAGGTGGAGTGAAGGAGATCCCCCAGTGTTTTAACTAGGACTGGGATGGATGTGTTTGGAAAAGCAGACCGGATGGATGGACAGCTCTAATGTAGTAGCGCTAAATGAATCACTCACACTACACCAGGTTCCCCAGGGGAAGGAATGTGGGATGGGAGTGTAAGGCCCCACTTACAATATGTTAGAGTAAGTAAAAGTGTATGGTGAAAAGGGCCGTGCATGTTTGTGTGGGGTCACATGTGTGTATGTGTATGACCTCTTGTCTCATCACCATAATAGTGCCATTGTGTTTTTGCATTTATAGTACACGGTGTGACTTGAAAATAAAGTCATTGAATGTACGCGTAACCAGTCGGACAAGTAGGAAAGGCACATCCGATGGTACCTGTTGGATCACAAACGATCGCAAATTATCTCCAAAATCTATCAGTGATCTGTCCCCAGAGAGATAAATCTGTTCAAATAAATCTGATTCAAGAAGGCAATAACAGGTGCACACAGTGTGCTCAGTTTTACTGGCAAATGTGACACTTTTATTAATCTTCTGATAGGTACTTATTTTACAATAGAGTATCATAACTTGAGTGATGACTAATGACAGTTAGTTAAAATATTCATGTGGTCTTGGTTAAGTTGGTAAAAATATTCATACCCTCACATAAAAAACACTGTAGCAGCATTAGATCTCTAATCCATAGAGCCATGTGGCCATGTATGTCTTTAAGGTGTAATGTGCTGTGACCTCTAACAAGTACATCAGCGTTAAGACTGTAAAAATCTCCAAGACAAATTGTTGTCAATAGCAACAGGTTTTTGCTGAATTTCTGAATTTCTAAACTTAACCTGAGTTTGTACTAGACACTTTATATATGTTTTATTTTTTTTATTGCTCAAATCACATTAGATATGCAGTTTTTAGGTAATACTTGAACATGAACTCTCTGACGTAATCTGTATTACAGGAAAGGATCTTAGCATTACTTGTTTTGTATACGTTTTAAAGTGTGTGTACCCCAACACCTGTTAACACCACTAACAGTGTATCATTATCTGTTGAAGAGCCATTATCTTCTCCTGAATGTTACTCGTTTCGGTCAGCCTTTAAACATACTATGACGATACACAAAACAATGGAAACATGTCTAGCAATACCTACGGTCACATTGATGAACTTCATTCTTACTTTCAACTGTAAACTGTTTGTCAACCCGTACCACTGCTCCCCGAGCAATCTCCGTTTTCCATTTCACTTATTCCTCAGAACTTTTTTTCTTTTCTCTCTTTTTCTCTGTGCCTGCCAGTGAGGACATAAAGGCTAATGTGAAGTCCATCACTGCTTGGTGAATAGCTGCCCTTTGTGCCTCAGAACTTAATTCACAGGCTGAAAGGACCCCAGCGCTGCCATAGCACCTCTATGTGCTGCCTGATTTAAAAGAGCTTGCATGTCCACAGAAGTCTGCCTGAAAGCCTTCTGTTAGGTTAAATATACCAGGTTTAGTCAACTGTTGATGACTGACCAGTATGGAAATAGCATTCCATATTGTATATTTTGTTTACTTTTTTACACTAAGCTGTGAATATAAACAATTCTGGTGCCAACACTGGTCTCGCAGTCACTAACGTCTGCACTGTTGTCAAGGAAACCTGACAGTTGTTTTCATGGTGGCCTTGACCTTATTCAGTATATAGACCCCCTCACTCCTCCATACATTACCATTTTGAGATACCAAAAGCAACATCATTTGGTGTTACAACCAGCTCATGGTAACGATGTGATTAGGGGGTTTGTCCAGTAAGAAAGTACTTGTGTTACTATTTGGAGCAACATAACTTTTCTTTTCTCCTACTTTGGCATTTGTGGTTGCAGAGGGCATCAATAACACACCAACCTCTCTCCCCGTCTTTCTCTCTCTCCACTCTCAGAGACCCTTGCCGGGCTTGTTAGGCCTGACACTGGCACCTTAGTGAACAAAAGGACTGCACGGCTTAGGGCTGCCCAGGAATGTCAGCGGGTTCACATTTCACATGCAGATGCGTGACCCCAGAGCCCTTTAGTGGGAAGGTGCGCTTTAACCTCACAGAGAAGCAAGAGGAGGGGGAACGGGGGTAAGGGGCACCTTAAGGGGAATCTGGGATGGGGGGAGGGGTAAAAAATAAGAATGTCTGAGTTTGCACTGCTTGCATCTGCTCTTACAATGCTATATGTCTCTCCCTGTGTCTGTCTTCTCCCTCTCTTTCCCAAAACACTGATGCACACTGTTAAACTCCGCTGATATACCTTATAGAATATTATAATTGTCGATATTCTGAAAACTTGTCAGTGCTGTCTCCTTTATGTGTGATCTGTGATGCGCCCCCTCTCTTCCCCCTACTTCGGAGCACATGAAAGCATTAACTTTTAAAGTGCATACTTAAGATTTCTCCCCAAATAATTGAAAAAGCACAATGGGAGGGGTTATGTAAGGCAAAAGTACTGTGAGCTCTGCAAAAGAAACCAAAGCTACTGTCATCTGCTCTCTGTAGGCCCAGGCAGGCACAGTTTCAACTCAAGGGCTTCACACTTCTGTAACTTGTTCTCCTTCCCTCGCTGCTCTCCCTATCCTTACTCTCTCTATATCCATTTGCCTCTCCCTCTCTCCTTTGCTCTCGATAGTGAAAACTTCAAAGACAACAAGATCTTCTGCAAAAGCATGAAACTTCAAGCTCGTTGTTTGTTTTGACCCTGAAGCCCCTTGCCACAACCCTCCACCTTCAACTTGCAAGTCCTGCAAAATACATGACTAAGAGAGACCAAATCCAGAACAGCTTTTTTCCCCTGCCCGCCTTCAACCTTCATTCTTCCGTGCGCTACTGTTGTGTAACTTTTGTAGAAAGCAGCTCTGGCACATGGCGCTGCATATACTACAATGACCTCACAAAAGTGATGACAAAGTACAATAAGTTTCTTGTGAGGCAGAGGAGTATAAACTTTTCAAATACATTTTATATATTCCACTAAGAAAATGAAAATAAAAATCAATACCACACAAACGTGCATGCACACACACCCTCACATTTATGCTTCCACACTGACTCATCTAGCTTGGCCTCTGTAGGTGTCTGAGTTGAGGATTGTAGTTCTGATTTCTTTTTGAAAGGTACAAAAGGGTTTCATCTATCAGCAGGTTGCTGCCTCCAGCCTGGCTCGGATCTGTCATAACAGGGAAATAAAGACAATAAAACCTTCTAAAAAAAATACACAGCAGTAAAAAACTATAAAGTTAACAGTAACCTAAGATGACAATAAACAAAAATCAAAAGAGGACACTTTCAAGTTTATAATATTGTCTTGTCATCTTGTTGAACAACTATGCTTAGATTAGTACAATGTGGTGTATTTAGGTGCAAAACATGACCTGCTGTACACAGACACCATTTCTCCCACTGCGTCTTATTATTATAAGGAATCAAATCACTTATTATTCTTTGCACTTCTAACAGAGAGGATTATTCTGGTACAATGCAACGATGGTGTTTAAAAACAGTCTTTAAAATTGCATTTATTATGTTGTTAACCTGTCATCAAAACAATATCGCTATCGCTCTCATTATTACTGTCAATTTCAGTGCTTATCCAAGTCAGAGATTTTATTCTGCAAAGAAATTAATCTATATTCATGTCAGAGTGCTTAATTGTTTATTTGTGTAGTCTACACCGTGTGTGTGTGTGGTTGTGTATACTCTGTGTTTAGCAGTTCTGCCCTCTAATAGTTGAGACATCTATAGCTCCACAGCAAGGCCAGGGGAGCAAGGGAGCAATCCATAGGCCTGCGTAGCCATGGCAACTAAACAAGGAATAGGCTAGATGTCAGGCGAGCATGGCTAAATTACCCATTAGAGAAAGCAGGAAGGGGAGAGAGGGAATACTGGTCAGGGCACAAGAGGCTAATGGGGAGATAAGATGGCCAACATATAGACTACACACACACCCACACATAGGCACACACACAGGCACACACAG